TATGAAGGTCAGGAATGGTGAGTCTATCATTCCACGCCCTTACTCTGCACAGCACCGAAAAACATGCTTTCAGAGATGTTTACCCACAAGAACTAAAATATTTTGTTTAACAAACTGATCAGGTGTTTGACAAGCATAGAAGAGTTGATGGGACTGGGAAATAAAAGAATGAAATGAAAGGCTGCAAAGAGGAGACTATTTTTTTCCATAACGCCTGATTGTGTCAACCCGGTCACAGCACATTCAGGCACTTGATATTTACTTTGCTAGAGGTAGAAGAGCAGTATCATGCCCGTTTCTGTTTGAAGTTGCTAAGTTATGAAACCACAAGTTAGCGGACTCACAGATGAGTAGGCTTTGCTACCACCTCAAAAGAGTCATGCAATGGTCATGAGGAACAGCAACTCCGCAGTGGCCTTACCAGAAAAGGTAAAGGAAAAAGAAGAGCTCACTGTACATGGCAGACATAGACAAGTCAGTATAGTTATGCCTGAACAGTATTTCTGTCTGTAGATACATTTGTGCAGAGCAATTCAGATCATGGGAGCATGAAGACATTAGAGATCCCTGAATGAAGATGCCTGTAAACACAGAGTCCCAGAGCAGCCTTTTTGTGGTTCTCAGTTTTCTATCACATAAATGTTGATTCAGAATGACTTATTTTTCATAATAACACACAGGAAGAAAAAATAGAAGGGCACATTGTATATTTTAAAACCACTAGAAATGTCAGATAGATATTTTACTCTTTTCCTGGAGATTTCTGAAGGAATTCAATAGTTCTTTTTCATCTGTGGATTTAGTTCTCCTTCTAAGAGGGATCCGGGTGCTGCCTCCTTAAGAAACAATCGAAAGATAAAGCTCCGTACACAGTCTTATACTCACAGATGAAATAATTTGCAACCCATTGTCTTTTTAGATGATTATTACCACCAAACTTAACTTCATTTAAAACATTTTTCAAATTAAAATTTAATAAAAGCATCTTTGCATCTGACCAGAATATTCTCTGCAGAAAACTTGCTGTTCCAGTACCAGGAGCAAAAGTAAACATTTGAACTGGTACCCTTGTTTCACAATTACACTATTCATAGATACGGTGTGCACAGTCTTCTCTGGAGAGTTGTAGCAACGCTCTGGTAATAAAGCTAGGATTCAGGAAAAACTCTGCTGAAATGTCTGGTGGTTCTGGGAAGATCTGAGTGTGCATTGCATAACTTGTTTTCTCCAGACATTTTTCAGTCTTCGGTATTTTTGAATGACTGAAGAGATTTATCATGTAAGAAAGTTTCCTGATAATCTACTCAACAAGTTATCACCCTCCTTCAGTATGCTATTAGAAATGGATACTTCACTTTTACAGTTCACTGACATTTACTGAGAGATTTCTGACAGTCTCGCAATAATATAAGGCCCGTGTGGAAGTTCAGCTAATGTGAGATAGGGAAATAGCAACTTTTAGCTGAGACAAGTTTAATAAAGCCACAGTTTTCAGGTTTCAGAGAAATTGGACTTTGTATGACAAACAGCAGTTGGAGTCTTATCTAAAATTGTGAACGAGGCACCTTTCTGGCAAGTCCTGCCATAAACACTCAAGTAATTCATTGATGCTATTCTTGTCTCTTGGTATGAGTCACCAGGCACATTGGTCCTACTTCTGTACACGGACAAAGACGAAGGAGACAGAATACTGAATAACATGCGTGGTTAAATTTAGTAAAAGATTTTACTTCACACTGTTACTCAGATTGACTCCTTTACTTTGACAGCAATGTTAGGAGGCACGTCCAGTCTTTTGTGGCATGCTTGAATACATGCAGGTGCAAAACAAGTGACCACACCTGCCCGTGCTGATTTGCCTGTATGACTCTATATTCTTCTTTAACCAATTTAGGCATGCAAGGAAGTGCCTCATCTGCACCCATGTAAAACAAAGACATTTTGGGCACCTGCCTTTTGAGGTTTGTGGGAGACATAGCATCCTAGATAATGCACCGTCACATGAAATGGCGCACATTGTCACAGGACTTTGAATGATCTGGTTCGGACTAGGTGTCAGAGATGGGCAGCTTTGTGGTGTGTCTTCCTTGGGCCTCTGGCTCACGATTTTTGGACAACTGGGCTTTTCATATTGAGTAAGAATATGAAGTGACTTTGACTCTCATCGTCACCTTTTAGAATAAAAAGGAAGAAGAATGGTGTATGATTCTAATAGGATTTCTGAATTAAAGGTGTCTTTTAATACCTGTGTTAGCCACAAGATAGTTTCCTGGGGAACTGTTGTGTCTCCTTCTTCACGTGAAAGAGTTGCTGCATTTGGCCTCTCCAAGAGAACAGATATTGCTATATTTCTTACAAGAGCACAAGAGGGTTTCGGTACCTGTTTTAGGTTTATGAATGTGTGCAATGTTTGTCATTACTAAATATAGATATGAAAAGCACCAATCCATTTCACAGTATTTAAAACACAATGGCTCTTCAGCCTCTTCAGCTTTCCTCCTGTTTCAAGTG